TTCCTACAGCGACCACTGAGGAGGACTCTGGATTAATTACGTTAATGACCATTATTAGCGGCCACCACCAATGATCGGAAAAGAGGTGACTGTAATGACCTTTCCTGACAGTCATAACGCTGATTACCTGAGACGGAGATCAGGTTAATCCGACCATTGAGGAGGGAGGAGGAGGAAGAGAAGGAGGAGGAGGAAGAGAGGAAGGGGAAGAGAAGGAGGAAGGAAGAGAAGGAGGCCGATTAGAACTGGGACCTAGAACTGGGACCTAGAACTGGGATCTATTAAAACTGGGACCTATTAGAACCAGAGCCATTAGAACTGGGACCAATTAGCACTAAAGCCTATTAGAACTGGGACCAATAGCACTTGAGCTTTATTAGAACTGGTAACCTATTAGAACCAGAACCTATTAGAACTGGGACCTATTAGAACTGGTAACCTATTAGAACCAGAACCTAAACTGGGACCTATAACATATTGGGCCAGCCATCGTCCAATAGCACCCAATTCTGTTACATTCCGACTCAACCTATCATATCAACCCTCTTTGCCCTCCCTCTCCCTTTCACTCCTGTCCCACCCTATTCATATTTCCTCCTGTAACCTTATTTATCTTCTCTCCCCACCCTCTCTCTCCCTCAATTGGCTTTCTTTCTCCTTCCCACTCAAAGCCCTTCTCATTGCCCCCACCATGCCATCTTCATCCTACCCCTCTTGATTGCTCCCCACTCAGACCTCTTTATTCTAGCCCTCTCTATTACACGTACCACTCTACCCTCACTCGATTTCCCTATTCAATTCTGCACTGATATAACTTTTCACGGTCTCTCTCTTCTCTCACCCTCCCTCTCCTCACCCTCCCTCACGCCCTCCATCATAGCGAGGTAAGTCGGGTGTCGGGTTACCCTGCTTTCTCTCTTCAATAAAGGACGGTGCCCCCGAGAGTCTGTAGCCCAGAGCCTGTCCTTGACTATCGTTGCCCTCCTCTCTATATGGTCGTCGCTTGTCGTGAGGGGGCGTGAGGTGTGGAAGGGTGGAGGAGGGGGAGGTGGAGGGGAGGGTGGGAGAGGAGAGGAGGGGAGAGGAGTGGGGGAGGTAAGGGGGAGGTGGAGAGGAGGAGGAGTGGATGGGCGTGGAGGTGAGGAAGGGGAAGGAAGGATGAGAGGAGGAGGTGGAAGGGCGTGGAGGGGTGAGGAAGGGAAAGGAAGGACGGGACAGGAGGGATAGGCGTGGAGGAGGGAAGGGATAAGGGGTGAGAGGAGTGAGGCGGAGGCGTGGATATAATAATAATAATAATAATAATAATAATAATAATAATAATAATAATAATAATAATAATAATAATAATAATAATAATAATAATAAACGGTTTATTGAAAAAGTTCTGCAGCCCGAAGGCTGAAAATATACATTGGACATAAATGACTTATTACATACATTGGTGGTTTAACAAAAGCCTTCATTAGAGAAAGGTGAAGGAACATACAGTGAACATACAAATTAATGTTTACACAGAAATACACAGTTCCATTTAGCGTCACAATATCTCCATACCTGCTGGTCTTAACGCTCTCCTGACACCCTTGACTGACACTCCTGACACTCTAATTTGGCACTCTTAAATGACACCCTCGGTTGGCACTCACTACAGGTTGGCACTATTGACACTTGGAGGGAAGACGAGAGATGGGTAGGTGAGAAATGGGGAAATAGGTAAAATGGGGAAAATGGGGTAAGAGGGAAGGCGGACGAGAGAGAAATTGGAAAAATACCCCATTTCCTGAGTAAACAAGGGAGGAAGGCCGTCTGGAGCGTAATGGAATGGAGAGAAGAAGACTATTACAATCATCCTAGGGTCTGGCAATGGTGGTGGTGGTGGTGGCGGTGATGGTGGTGGTGGTGGTGGTGGTGGTGGCGGTGGTGGTGGGTGATGGTGGTGGTGGTGGTGGTAGGTGGCGGTGGTGGTGGTTGTTTTACGTACACAAAACAAAGTACCATAATAGGCCTTCAATGTGTGTGTGTGTGTGTGTGTGTGTGCCCTTAAGATAAATGGAGAAGTTATTTGTAGGCAGTAGACCTAGTTAATAGGCCTATAAACGAGAGGAAACGGCCTATTTCCTCGTGTTATTGTATTATAGATCTTGTTACGTACACACTCACACACACACACATATAAACATACACATACACGCACACACGCACACACTCACACACACACACACACCTATAGTATGGGCGGCGTTGTGGAGTTAAGGCCCGCCCATTGCCCTGAAGGTGTATGGTGGGTGGTTGTGGTGGGTGGTTGTGGGTGGTGGTAGATGGCGGTGGTGGTCGGTTGTGGTGGTAGTGGGTAGTGCTGGTAGTGATGGTGGTAGATAATAGTGGTAGTAATAGGTAGGAAGTAGTAGTAGTAATGGTGGTGATGGTAGTAGTAGTGGTGGTAGTAGTGGTGGTAGTGAACCATTCTTCACCCTACCTTCCCACCCCCACCACCCCCCTCACCTCCCATGGGTGGTGACCTGGCCGACAGGTGAGCTGCACAGGTAGCGTCCGTAATTGACCTTTTCACTGTTGGGAGAGAGATAACCCTTTCTCTCACCCTTGTCTCACCTGCCTATCTCTCCAGGTGACATGAGAAGGGGAGGGGGAGGGGGGGAAGGGAGGGAAGGGGGGGGGGTGATACTCGCCCAAAGGTTAGGTTAGGTTAGGCTTAGAATTGGAAACCAGCCAATATAATACAGGTGTGGACCAATTAGTGGTGTGGGAGGTGTGTGGCTGTTATTTGTGCCACACACACACCACACCTGGCTGGTTCAACAACTAATTGGCTATCATAGAGGGACAGTTAGTTACCCTTTGACTGGTAACTAACTGGCAGATTAAGTGGTTGACTAATGGTGATGGTTCTGTTTGCCTCCGGCTCTGATTGGTCGAAATACAGTCAGTTTCACGCACTGACTGTTGAGTGATTGACTGACTGCCAAATTGGTTGACTTTCTGACGACTAAACTGACTGACTGACTGACTGACTGACTCCAAACTTCCCTCCCTACCCCTCCATGGATCCATTAATGACCCTCCTCCTCCTCCTCCTTCCGCAGGTTAATTACAGGACACGAGATAGTATCAACACACCTGTCCTCACCTCCTCCTCCCCCTCCTCCTCCTCCTCCTCCTCTCCCTCTTCCTCCTCCTCCTCCTCTCCCTCTTCCTCTCCCCCCTTCCTCCTCCGTTATCATCCAGGACGGTAAAACAGACGACATTTATTAACAAACTTTCAAGTAAAAAAAAGAATAATAACAATAATTAACATCACCAGAGAGAGAGAGAGAGAGAGGCGTAATGACCAAGAATCCTATTGGTGACCTTGAAGGAGGAGAGGGAAGGAGGGGGAAGGAATGAAGGGGGTAAGGGAGAAGTAGGGGAAGGGGGCAAGGAAGGAGGTGGAGGTGGAAGGAGGGGGAGGAGGGGGAAGGATGACAAGGCCTCCAGCACACACTTGATGGATGAGGATAAATGGTATATTGGCTTCCTGACGTGGAGGCCAACTACTGAGGTCCTGAGGCTCTCTTCCTTCACCGCTACCTCCTCCTCCTTCTCCTTCTCTTCCTCCTCCTCTTCCTCGTTCTTCTCTTCCTCCTCCTCCTCATCCTTCTTCTGTTCATCCTCCTCTCCCTCCTCTTCCGCCAATATATATCCTAACCTAACCTAACCTTAACCTAACCTAACCTAACTTGCTTGCCCCTGACCCGCCTCTCCCTGATCCGCTTCTCCCTGACCTGCCTCTCCCTGACCTGCCTCCCTGACCCGTCTCTCCCCCTGACCCGCCTCTCCTCTGACCTGCCTCCTCCCCACCCGCCTCTCCTGACCCGCCTCCCCTGACCTGCCTCTCCTGATCCGCCTCTCCCTGATCCTGCCTCCCTCCTGATCCGCCTCCCTGACCTGCCTCTCCCTGACTCCGCCTCCCTGACCTGGGCCTCCTCCCTGACCTGCCTCCCTGACCTGCCTCTCCTCCCTGACCTGCCTCCCCTGACCTGCCTCTCCCTGACCTGCCTCTCCCCTGACCCGCCCCTCCCTGACCCGTCTCCCCGGACCTGCCTCCTGACCCGCCTCCCTGACCCGCCTCCTCCCTGATCCGCTTCTCCCTGATCCGCTTCCTGATCCGCTTCTCCCTGACCTGAGGAATAAGCCGAGATTTATCGCCGGCTATAAATTCTCTTCAAGATAATACAAAATTGTGAGTAAACCGTTCCTGTGTAAAATGGGCCCCAACCCTAGTGGGCCCCAGTCTTTGTGGGGTCCAGTTCTAGTGGGCCCCAGTCTTTGTGGGGTCCAGTTCTAGTGGGCCCCAGTACTTGTGGGGTCCAGTTCTAGTGGGCCCCAGTACTTGTGGGGCCCCAGTCCTAGTGGGCCCCAGTACTTGTGGGGCCCAGTCCTTGTGGGTCCCAGTACTAGTGAGCCCATAATAATAATAATAATAATAATAATAATAAATCAACACATAACAAACAAAAACAACAACAAACAACCCCCCCCCATTCATGGTCTTCCCTCTTAGGTGATAACTAACCACCCACATTAATCACCTGGTCAGTACTACTCTATATCCGTCCTTGTTATCACCCTCACAAACCCACTGTCTGAGGAATTTAATAACTTGAAAGACTAATTGGACCTGAGCCAGATACCGATGTGATGGTGGGGTGGGTGGGTTGGGTGGCTGGGTGGGTGGGTGGGGTCGCTGGGTGGTGTGGGGTGGTTTGCGGTTGTGGGTGGGTGGGGCTTGGTGGGGGTTGGGTGGGTGGGTCAGGGGTCGCTAAGTGGTGTGGGGTGGGTTGGGTGGTGGGTAAAGGTGGGTGGGTAAGGTGGTGTGGTGTGGCGTGAAAGATGCGACAGGTATACACTAGACATTACTCAATGCCTGTCTACCCTCTCGATACACCAACCATCATACAGGTCACTGCCAAGAGCCATCAAAGGTCACTGTGAAACCATCACAGGTCACCAGGAACCATCACAGGTCATCAGAAACCATCACAGGTCACCAGGAACCATCACAGGTCACCAGGAGCCATCACAGGTCACCAGGATCCATCACAGGTCACCAGGAACCATCACAGGTCACCAGGAACCATCACAGGTCACTTCAGGATCCATCACAGGTCACCAGGAACCATCACAGGTCACCAGGAACCATCACAGGTCACCACAGGTCACCAGGAGCCATCACAGGTCACCAGGAATCCATCACGGGTCACCAGGATCCATCACAGGTCACCGGTGGAACCATCACAGGTCACCAGGAACCATCACAGGTCACCAGGAGCCATCACAGGTCACCAGGAACCATCACAGGTCACCAGGATCCATCACAGGTCACCAGGATCCATCACAGGTCACCAGGAACCATCACAGGCTCAGGATCCATCACAGGTCACCAGGAACCATCACAGGTCACCAGGAACCATCACAGGTCACCAGGAACCATCACAGGTCACCAGGAACCATCACAGGTCACCAGGAGCCATCAAAGGTCACCAGGAGCCATCAAAGGTCACCATTAGGAGGTCAGGAAGCGTAGGACAGTTTGAGTTATCAGTGCGGCCAATTTTATGATGATCGTGATGAGAAGCGATTAACCGCATCAATGAAGTTAATTGACTCCATCTGTTAGCGAGTGACCACCTGACAGCTGGCACGATGAGGACGCCACAAGAACCACGGCCTGGAGTCCTCAACCACGGCCTGGAGTCCTCAACCACGGCCTGGAGTCCTCAACCACGGCCTGGAGTCCTCAACCACGGCCTGGAGTCCATAACCACGGCCTGGAGTCTTCAACCACGGCCTGGAGTCCTCAACCACGGCCTGGAGTCCTCAACCACGGCCTGGAGTCCCCAACCACGGCCTGGAGTCCTCAACCACGGCCTGGAGTCCTGAGTCCTCAACCACGGCCTGGAGTCCTCAACCACGGCCTGGAGTCCTCAACCACGGCCTGGAGTCCTCAACCACGGCCTGGAGTCCTCAACCACGTCCTAAATCTTTAAGAGGAAGGAAGAAGATGTGGAGGCGAGCCGTGAGAAACTATCCCACATATGACCTTGGTTCCTGGGGCGTGGCAAACGTTTCTTGAAGTCAAACGTTTCTTGAAGTCAAACGTTTCTTGATATTCTTGAAGTCAAACATCTGACATCTAATATATCTCGCCATTAAAAAAACAAAACAAAACTCTCTCTCTCTCTCTCTCTCTCTCTCTCTCTAGCACATAATAGGAACAATCCACCACAGACAGACAGGCGGAAAAAAAATTATTAATTACATCATCTGTATACTTCCATGCTTATTAAAAATGAATATGATGACCTTACGTTAGGGAGCAAGGGGAGGATATGGGGGAGAATGTGGGGAGAGAGTGGGGGAGAGGATGTGTAAGGGGGGGGGGAGACTCTTGTCTAGTGCTTTATCCAGCCTTCTGCAATGCCCTAGGGGTATCAGGTATTAGTGACACGTTTAGTTAGGCCTAGGAAGGGATCCTGGTGGTAAGGTATCTCCTGTTTGGTAGGGATAATCATTTTGTATTGATTGTTGTATATATATATTTCGTATGTCTTGTGTAATATAGTAATGTTAAGTAATATTTGTTTGGTCTAACTTCTTACAGTATATTTTTGCCCTTCCGGCATCACTCTTATTTTATTATACAATTACTTATTCCCTTAAATTCATGTTTGCTAATCATTACTCCCTTTAAAACATAAATTGAATTAATTAATTATCTTCCCTTTTGTGATTCACTTATTTCAATTGTTGTTACTTTTTCAAGTATATTTAGTTGAGTAGGTTTTTGGTGAGGATAATTATTGCTGTGTTCCCTATTTGTACCTTTATTTGTTAATAACTTGGGGTAGGATTCACTCCCCAAGCATAAGGCATATTGGGATCGCGACACGTGTTACGAGCGTTGCGGACGGTGTCGATTTCCGAGTGTACCGGAAGGCCGTAATTATATTAAGGTTATGTAACGGTGTTATTTGTAATTGACATAATATGGGTGTAGTTGTTTTAATTTTAATTGGAAGTGTTTTAGTTATAAGTTGAGGTCAGAATTGGGTAAGTGAATTTATCGGTATAACCCGTGTTGTGTTAGATACCCGAGTATATTGTATTTTTTTGTATTGTTTCTATTAGTATGATTTTTAGTGCATAGAGCATTAGTTTCTAGCAGTGTAGACTTACAGGCAATGTCATTAAGTGTGTTTTATGTTTATTTGAGATCTAATACATGTATAATTTCAGCAATGGCTTTGAGGACTCTATGGTGATATGGACGCAATCTTTGAAAATTGATTGGTGAAAGTACATGTAAGGACCCCCCATTTGTGAGTACAACAGAGTAAATTGTGAAGTGATAAGTGTTGAAATCATTGCATTGAAAAGACGGTGAATATTTGTCGAGTACCGAGGGGACAGTCTCGTAAAGTATTACCACTTTATTTTGTGAAAGTGACACTCGGTAATGGAAATGCGTGATTCTCTTTTAAGTTTGATTTGTTAGAGTATAGTGTAATTCCGGAAGAGTTAATACAGTGTTGCACCCTACAGTGATTGACAATAACAAGTAGCATTGCCTTTGAGGGGGCACAGTAAGTTACACCGCCAGCAGGGTGCGTGAGTCGACGAGCGACGCGCCTGGCGCTGCCACACAGAGCTGCCCAGAACCCGCGTCCACTCCCTCCCCGCCTCCACCCAAGTCACGGCTGCTTCCTCTTCACAGCGAGACGTCTCCTTCAGCCGCAAGGGCCTACTTCCTGAAGGAGTACTCGGATGTGCTGGTGACGAGGGAGGCCCTACGGACCGCGCCACTGAAGGCTGTGGCGGGTCCGCCTATGAGGATACACCTGCGGGAAGATGCACTGCCGTTTGCCATACACACTTCCCGGTTGATTCCTCTCGCCTTCAGGGATTCAGTCAAGAAGGAACTGGATTCCATGGTGGCCCAGGGTGTCATCGTACCCGTTGGTGACGACCCATCCCCTTGGTGCCACCCTCTAGTCGCTGTGGCTAAGACTAACGGTGGAGTGCGGATTACTACCGACTTGTCAAAGCTTAACAGCCAGGTGTCCCGTCCCGCCCACCCTTCACCCACACCTTTTGCAGCTATACGGAGTGTGGATCCGAAGGTACGGCACTTCTCGACGATGGACGCCCTCTGTGGTTACTGGCAGATCCCACTGAAGAAGGAGGATCAGCCACTCACCACTTTCATCACGCCTTACGGACGCTTCCGCTACTGCCGTGGCCCTATGGGATTCGCTGCTACGGGGGATGCCTTCTGTCTCCGTGGTGACATGGCACTTCAAGGCGTGACCCACTGCGTGAAGGTAGTGGAAGACGTCCTCCTTTACGATGAGGACTACCTGGCGCATCTTCGCCGCATCGACGAGGTACTGACCAGGTGTAGGACGCACGGCATCACTCTGAATGCCCAGAAGTTCGTCTTGGCCGCACCTGCAGTGTCTTTCTGCGGCTACCGACTCTCAAGGGATGGCATTGCTGCGGACCCGGAGAAAGTTCGCGCCATAGCAGACTTTGCGAAACCTGCCAACCTTACGGATCTCAGGTCTTTCATAGGCCTGGTGAACCAGCTGGCAGAATTTTCCCCTGACGTCTCCGCCGCTGCCGGGCCTCTCCGCCCCTTGATGAGCCCCAAGAGGACGTTCACGTGGACCCCTGACCACGACCTCGCCTTTCATAAGGTGAAGGAGGCCCTGTCAAGTCCACCTATCCTCGCTACTTTCGACCCAGCGCTCCCCACCGTCCTCCAGACAGACGCCTCGCGCCTGTACGGGGTTGGTTACGCCCTTCTCCAAGATCACGGTGGAGGAAATTACCGGCTCGTACAGTGTGGCTCTCGCTTCCTCACCGATGCTGAGTCTCGCTACGCTACCATCGAGCTGGAGCTGCTGGCAGTGGTATGGGCCTTATCGAAGTGCAAGTTCTACTTGATTGGCCTACAGCACTTCGACCTCATCACAGACCACAGGCCCTTGGTCCCCATTCTTAACCACTATTCGCTGGACGCCATCGAGAATCCCCGCCTCCAGCGCCTGAAGGAGAAGATTTTGGCCTTCGTCTTCACCGCTGCTTGGCGCGCAGGTAAGGAGTTGTGCATCCCGGATGCCCTCTCCCGCTCCCAAGTCAGCCGCCCTACACTTGAAGACGAGATGCTCAGCACCGAGGCCGGTTTCTCCGTCAGCAACATCGTCACCTTGCAGGCCATACAGTCCCTCGCCAGCATCCAGGCCTCAGTGTCGCCACCCGACAGCGATCTGGCATTGAGGAACTACGGACCGCGGCACGCGACGACCCCTCCTACACTCAGCTCTTAGAGAGTGTGAGGACTGGGTTCCCTCACGACCGTTTTGACCTCCACAACGCCCTACGCCCGTATTGGAAGATACGTGAGGACCTCTACGCAGATGGGGACCTCGTCCTGTACGGTGCCCGTGTGGTCGTCCCTGCAGCTCTCCGTCGTCGCGTTCTGACCCGCTTACACGACAGCCATCGTGGAGCAGAGGCCACCAAGCGCCGCGCAAGGCAGGCTGTGTACTGGCCCGGCATTGACGCGGATATCGTCAATACGGTCCGTACCTGTGAGCCGTGCCAGATCATGCAGGCCAGTCAACAGCAAGAGCCCCTCTTGTGCGACGACGAACCCACCAGGCCCTTCGAGTCCGTGTCGGCTGATTTCTTCAGCACAGCTGGGAAACATTTCCTAGTTGTCGCCGACCGACTCTCTGGCTGGCCTGTGGTGGTAATCTGTGGCTCGGACACGACGTCCGCGGCCACCATTCGCCACTTCCGGCACCTCTTTCGTGACCTGGGCGTCCCCGTACGTCTGCGGACGGACGGTGGGCCACAGTTCACCAGCCGGGACTTCACAGGATTCCTGGAGCGTTGGGGAGTCCGCCACATCGTGTCAACACCCCACTACCCACAGTCAAACGGCCATGCTGAGGCTGCGGTCAAGACAGTCAAGCACCTCATCCTCAAGGTGGCCCCTTCAGGCAACATAGACTGTGAGGCGTTTGACAAAGGACTCCTGGAGTTACGTAATACTCCCACCCACACAGGGCGCTCCCCTGCCCAGATCCTGTATGGTCGCCCTCTCCGCTCTTGCGTTCCTGCACACGCCAAGGCCTTTGCGAAGGAGTGGCAGACCAGAGCCGAGAGCTGCGACCGCCGCGCCGCTTCACGTGCCCAGGACGCCAAGGCTAGGTATGACGACCGTGCCCGCCCTCTTCGGCCACTGGAGATTGGTGCCCTTGCCCGCGTCCAGGACCCGACGATGACACGTTGGGACAAGGTGGGCATAGTGATGGGCGTCGGCCGGTCGCGGGACTACAAAGTCAGGATGCCGAGTGGCCGTGTCTGGTGGAGGAACCGCCGCTTCCTCCGGCCAGTCCCACCCCCTGCTGCTGGCCCCCTGACCGAAGACAAGTCACCTACACCTCACGAGGATCCGCCCCACAGTGCACCTCGACGCTCGGAGCGACTTAGGACTAAGAAGTCCGCTCAAGACAAAGCCTATGAGCGTGAGGGGGGAGGGAGATGTAGGT